AAAACCACAAAGCAATGAAAAGTAAACATCAATATCTAGCAAGACACAAACTTTCAGAAAACGAAAAATAAGCTAATTTGAAATACCCATTCACCTCAAATAAAAAAAATAAGTTTTAGAAATTCTTTTCCATTTTCAATCTCCATAATTACTCTAGATATATGATCAAAAAATTAAGGTAAATAACTCAACTTGGAAACTCTTGTTTTTTCCAATTCAACAGAGAAAAGCTTACATGATATAAGGAAGTGGAAACCAGAGTTTCAAAAGGCTCGTTGAGAGTGATGACCCCACCAACGCCCAACTGCTTCAACCGCCGAACATCCTTGGGAAACGGAACCGCCCCCAACAAAAGAAACTGGAAACAAAAAGAAAAAAGAACACCCATCATCAACAAAAACAGAGAGAGCAAAGAAAGTCACAGGTTTTAGTCGATCATCAAAATGAGAATCACTGAAATGGGATTAAATATTATAAGAAAATGAGTAATAAAAAAGGAAATTTGAGGATAAGATCAAAGGAAAAACCTGGTCAACTTCGTCCCACCATCTGAATTCAGATTGGATTTTGTTGCGGAAGACATTGTATAAAAGGGTCGGGTAAAAAAGGATCCGAGCACCCGCTCCGACTAAAGCTCTCTTCGCATCGTCGACTCGAACTATCTGAAGCTGCTTCACACCGTAAACACCGTCTGTTTCCCGATCATTCTCCACGTCGTCCAACTCCTCGATCTTCATCTCACCAAAACCCGGAACTGAATTTTTTAAAAAAACAAATAAAAATAAAACCCCCAAATTGATTAAATTTTACGAAACGAAAATTAGTTTTGAAGAATCGGGAGATAATTGCATGGAATTCAGACGATGGAAAAAGAAATCAAAAGGGATTTATAAGGGAATTTGACAAGATACGAAGAGAGCGTGGGTTTCACTTTGATGCGAATAATAAAAAAGATTAGATTTGTGAACAAGACAAAAAAATATCCGAAAATAATTACTGTACTTAACTTCGACTAATGGCGATGAAATACAGGTAGGAACGAATTATTATTATATAATAAAAATTTAATAAGCCCTTGCTATTGGTTTAATTTACACTATTACCCTAAAAATATATATATATATATATATATATTAATACACGTATCGGTAGAAGTTTAAGCTTGACTTACCCATCTAACACTATTTTCTTAAGGATCATTTCTTGTTGATTAAGTAATGCTTGTTAAGTAAAGACAATCTTTAACAATTCAATCGATGAAATTCAGGGTGTGTTTTTTTTTCTTTATATGGCAGTCGTATTTGTTTTGCACACTAGAAGCTTATTTTAAGAGTATGGGTGATGAATGGAGGACAGGGAACCTTCTTCAGATTAGGTTGGTCTGTCTTCATGAGCATTTGACAAGTAATAATTGTGGGCGAGGCACGTTTTGGACCAACAGCATTGGATTGGTTAGATGCAAGTTTTTTATTTGAAAGAGTTGCTTTCTCTCACTTGTCTTCTAACCTAGCCCAACTGCTGACTTTATAATTGGAAGAGCCGATGGTCTGCTTGCCCAATTGCTCCTCCACTGTTCATGCTAATCTACTAAAGTAGAGTTCTTACCCTCTACCACACCATCTCAAGAATATCATGGCATAGATGGTCAATTTTTGTTCTAATGTTCTCGAGGAAAGGAAGAAAAAAACCCAAAGGCCCAAGCCATAAGAAGGAGTCCATTTTTGGTAGGGAGTGGCCCATTTGACCAATTCGGGTCTGTTTCGATTCATGGATGCAAACTGATGCGTGCATGCGATTCTAGTGAAATGATCCAGTCTTCTTCCCCTGTCTGCAGCTCCTGAAGGAAAAATACGTTACAGAAGTCATAATATTGATATCCATAAAAAGCCAAAAGAACAAAAGAGATTCACCTTGTTTTTACTTGAAAAAACAGAAACGTAAAACAATTTCCTGTTTCTTGTAATTATTCCTCATTCATAACCCGATAGAAGTAGCATGGCCTCCTTAATGCTCCACCATATATTGAGGCAGACACGAAATTGAGCCATGTGCCACAATTCAAGTCCACCAATTAATGAGTACGAATTTAGTTGGATCTTAATGCTTAGCACTCTCACCATTAATTGGCAGACCAGGATCCAACTGAGCCTACAGCATCCCAGCTTTTTTCCTGGTTTTAAATTATTGAATTTAACATCAACCAACTAACTAACCAATAAGCAATAACCATCCCTCTGGATTGGGCTGCATTCCACTCTCTGGTTAATTTCAACGATTAAAGTTGACCCATCTCCATAACTCCATTGATACGCATACTGCATAGTGAATCTCTTTTGGAGAGTACAAATCTTAAATGCATGACAGATGACTGAGCAAGATGTTAATTACCCAGAATAAGGTGCCCAACTGTTTTAGCAGAAAAATGAAGAGAATTCAGCTATAGGTTTTGTCAGAATATTGATGTGTTGGAGAGTTATTGGCAGCTTAGTGAAAACAAGGGGGTCAATTCATTTGAGACGAGACATGCGTTGTGAAAGTTCTAACTCCGATTTTCTACACAGGCAGATTCTTGGACATCACATTCAAGAACAAAAACACAATGGTTGTTGATTGTCACAATCAAATGAAAGTTGTTGGAAGCTGTTTAAACCAGTTGGTGTTGATTTCACGTAACACATGGATGCTTTAAACCGGTTGATTGCTATAAGACAAGGAAACCTTTGGATTGTATTTGTCACGGGTGTGATAACTGATAAAGGGTGGACATGGAAAAGACAAATCCAAAAATCCATTGTTTCTGGAATAAACGCAGTCAGCAAGTAAGTACTCACTGCTAATGAAAATTACCCTTCGGTTTTACTACAAATTCATCCCATTATGGACCAAAGTTGGCCTCTACTACATTATTCAAGAGCATTCCCTCGAAGAGAAAGAAGGGGAAACATGCATGTGTATCAGCAAAATGAACATTAATTACGCGTCATAACAGTAAACATCAAGGATACAAAGTCAAATGATCTAGCAAGAAAAAACAATGTCGGACTTTACCACTTCACTCAAATAGATGATACCAGATTTAACAATCAAGAAACCAGAAATCTCGGTTATCCTTAATATAAAAGCAAAAGAAGTGTTGAGATAAGGTGTAAAAGTAAAGAAAGGAAACACTGCATTGGCAATGGATTTCCGGTATGCACCTACTCGTGTTATTGTTAAAGAATTTAAAGCTTGCAACTACACACTGCCTTCTGCTTTTCAGGGATATGGTGGCTAAAACCTAACTGATGTCTAGGCCTTCTCTCTCTTTGGTGGCTGTGGGGGTGGAGGTGTGGAGGGTTTTCTTTCTAATCTTTTCCAACCATTCCGAGCTTGGCCATTAATAGTTTTGTTTAATTTCCTTTTCTTCATATGATTATTATTAACTGACGTATCAGTATAAAACTGAATCTTCATCCACTTCTGGTCTAGTGGGAAGTAGCAGCTTAACCATGCCGTAAAAGGAAAGTAAACGGAGTTGAAACTTCCCGTGGCTAATCTTTAACATGCAAAATACTTAGCAGGACTGCCACTAATAATGTGACAGTTGAAAGGGGAATCCATGGTTCTCCCCCTTTTTTGCTTGGTCTATCTTCTCCTTTTTTGTTCTGTGAATGCCGCGAACGACTGGCCATGGAAGCTAGCTGCCATCCAATATGGAAATCAAATTAAAGTTGCATGCGTTTTGCTTTATTCATTCACATTCACATGGAATTCTCCAATTTTTTTTTCTAATGTATGATGAACTATGTGCCACACTCCCACCCATCAGACAGGGAAGGAACATTGCACGTTAACCCACTTACAGAAACATCGCGTGTGTAGTACTGGAAAGGCCTTAGCTGAAACCTAAAAAAGATTAGTGGTGACCTAGCTAGTCGTCACTCGTCAAGGCGCAAACGAGAGAAGGTGACCTCTGTCGGGTGTGTTCCTCATAAATGATGAGCAAAAATTTGTAGGTTTAGAGATTCAATTGCCGACAGGATTGGCTGATAAGTTAACGATGTTTTGATTTCGTAAGTTGGTTATATCTGCTTTTCCGATAGAGCTGTCTATACTCTGAACTATTTCAACGGAAGCCAGGTTCATAACTTAATTAGGCGTATAATAGCATCATTTTGACTTGTTTTTAAGTTGGTAAACAGAGTTAGGCAGTGGTCGTTTCCTCATTTAGTTTGCTTTGCATAAAAGGTTATATTTGGAACGCACCATTAAGGAAAATAATAAAAGGAAAAGGGAGTGAAGTTTGATGGTTGGAGGTTGAATTGAGAATCTTTATACCAAATCTATGCCATTGTCTGCTGTTGTTTGGCAACTTCTAATCACATCCAAAATCCTCTTTCACTTCTTTAGTCCTGCAAAATCTATTCGTGAGCTTCACTTAATATCCTTTCTATAATCCTAGTTTTGGCCCAAGTATGGAAAATCAACCACCCCTAAAATCTAGTCCCACCATTCCCATGCATTGCTACCTTACATTGTTCTATTCTAGTGGTAGATAACGACCCTTTATTTAACCTCTATTAACATTTTATCTTACTTATTTGGCAGTTAGTTTACCCAATGAAATGCAAATATCGTCCACCAATAGTCCCATTTGAGAGTAACTCATGCTAGTACGCTCTTTTGAAATGAATCACTTTTTGGGTTATTATATATAATACATGTCTTTCTAATGAATTCGTTTAGGGACCCAGGTCAAGCTTTTCCTGAGCTTCATAGTAGTTTCTTATTTAAGAACCATAGCCATGCGTTAATATATTTGACAGGGTTAATTATTCCGAACTTTTGGTTGTTGCTAAGCAACTCAGCATAAGCTCAGCCACAACCCATAGCCACCCTTTTTGCAGCATCTGTCTCAAGTCAATATTTACACAGAAAAAGTTTGCTCGTACAATAATAAAAGCCCAAAACTGTAACCATACATAAAAAAGGACAATAAAAATAAAAGTAAGAAAGCATTGAAGGGCAATCAACCCCACCATGTCGTCTCATCAATGCAGCAGCCTCATTTGCACAACCTTACAAGCAAACTAATCCATCATAGTAAGCATCTTGGTGTCTTCAACATAGAAAGATGGGGAAGAGCTGGCTCCTGGCTTTTATCCTCTGGCAGACAATTTCAACAGAAGCGGCGATCACTGTGGGTGGTGGTGTTGGCATTAATATTGGAAATGCTGGTGGCGTTGGTGGTGGAGGTGTTTGGATTGGTGGAGGAATCAACAGCCCAACTCCATCTGGGCCTTCAGTGTCCAAGCTCAGCACTGCTTACACTGCCCTCCAAGCATGGAAATCTGCAATCACGGATGACCCATTGGGGATTTTGAAGACTTGGGTTGGCTTAGATGTGTGTTCTTATAAAGGGATCTTTTGTGCAGATCCTCAAGGCGCAATGGATTCAGCTTCTGGACAATTTGTTGCAGGCATAGATCTCAACCATGCAAATCTGCAGGGAACTCTAGTCAGGGAACTCTCTGCCCTTACAGATGTTTCAATCCTCCACCTCAACAGCAACAGGTTTTCTGGAGCAGTTCCCGACACTTTCAAAGACCTTTTATCACTTCAAGAGTTAGACCTTAGTAACAACCATTTCTCAGGTCCTTTCCCTATAGTTACTCTATACATTCCAAATCTCGTTTATTTGGACCTAAGGTTCAACAGCTTCTCAGGACCCGTCCCTGAAGATCTATTCAGCAAGAGACTTGATGCAATCTTCCTTAATAACAACCAGTTTGAGGGAGAACTTCCGCAAAATCTGGCTAATTCTCCAGCTTCGGTGATAAATTTGGCTAATAACAAATTCAGTGGAAACATCCCAGCTAGTTTTGGCTTCATGAGTTCTAAATTGAAGGAGATTTTGCTTCTTAATAACCAGTTAACGGGTTGCATTCCAGAAGGAGTTGGGCTCTTCTCGGAGATGCAAGTTTTTGATGTGAGCCACAATTCACTCATGGGTCATTTGCCTGACACGATATCTTGCCTGAATGACATCGAGGTTCTCAATTTGGCACACAATAAGCTATCTGGGGAACTGCCTGACGTGGTTTGTTCTCTAAGGACACTTATGAATTTGACTGTTGCATACAATTTCTTCTCTGGGTTTAGCCAGGAATGTTCCAAGTTGTTCTTTAGGAATGTGGGTTTTGACTTCTCACTTAATTGCATTCCTGGGAGAAACATGCAGAGACCACAACCAGAGTGCTCTGTGATCCCTGGAGGCGGGTTGAGTTGTCTGAGAATTCCTGCTGCACAGCCTCTAGTTTGTGGGGGGTTGCTTGGGAACTTGGAGGTTAATCTAACCTCATCATCCCCATGATATCTCGTTGTATAACAGGTTGGTGATGGTTGCCCCATTCATTAATAGCAATTTACGATTTAGAGCTTCCAAATTCTTTGCGTCATGGATCCAGTTACATCTTTTTCACAATACTCTGTTTTTAAATGGATAAGAAATGCCCAGGTATTTGAGAAAGGGATTGATGAAGAGTATAATAAAATTTTCAGGTAGGAATACTACTTATCGTATCTTGGCTAGCCAAAAGAAAATCCGATTAAAAAGACAGGATGCGTTGTCGTCCTGTCTGTATCCTTTAGCGTCATATTGTTATTTCTGTGCAATTAGCTCCTTTCTCCAAGCTCCTCAGCCCTTGGAATCTCAAGGGTCCAAATTCCCTGCCCGATGGCCTAGGAGTCTTGCTAGGACATTTTAGAATGCTAAAATATCCATGGCAACGGTGAGTAATTAATTCTTTCTAACTTTACTTTCATGGCCTGATTAAGAAGTTCTGATGACATTGCTGACGGCATCATGCTATCGATTTTTCCTTCTTGATTTCTTGACAAAGCATATGATGACTTGAAAGGACTTACACTTTACGAAACAATACAAGACAGCAGCAGCTAGCTACTAGTCTCTCTATAAACGCAGAAGCCAACCTAGAATAGGCACTCAATTTTGCAGATCTAAGTTGGGTCCATTAGAGGGGCATCCCTCTTGTAACTGTCAGTACCGAGAACCAACCTCTAGAACTCCGATTGCCAGTGTTTTTTTCCAATTCAAACCCAGTAAGGTGAGGCATCAGCAAAGCCTGCTTAGACTTGTGAGAACCCTCCCAAGATTCTCCTACGTAACAAGTATTAACTAGCCATGAAATTTACAGAAGCAAATAGGTCCACATAACTGGAAGTAAAGAATTACAACATATGACACAATTACTTTATATTGTTTAGGAAACGTAATACATGGGATTTGGCAGTTTAAATGAACGTTTTGCCACTGCAAAACCCAGCAAGTCACTCCACTGATCTCCCGAGCTCCCATGAATGGTGTAACCTTCATTTACCAGATCTGATCTCTTCTCAGATTTATATACAGTTGCCAGTGTTCCCTCGTCTGAAGGTCCTCTGTACCATAAACCAAAATTCCATCAGCCATTCTTACGTTTAACAAGTAATCTTATCTGAAAACTAGTTACATAGGTTTTCATAAAAACCAAATCAGGAATACAGGGAACGCCTGAAAGCTGAATATACCTCAAGATAAGCCTGTCCAAGTCGGTGTACCCTGCAAACAGAAGATTCTTGGCCGTGGCATTCCTCTGATTCTCACTCCGCCCAGTAAGCACAAATATTTTAAATCCCATCTGCTTAAGCTCATTGTACAATTTCAAACTCGCTGGTATAGCGGGCGCCTCGGCCAAGTCCACCCACACATCCCAGGAATTCTCATCAAAAGTTTCTGATCTACGTCCATAACAGGATAGCCTTAGTAATTTCAATCAATGAACACAAGCATATAAATTTCAGTCAAAGTAAGCAGATTTAACAATTCCTCTATTTTAGAATACACAATAAACATGATTTCCCCTATTCAAAATTTGCACAATCGCAGGCCGTATAAGCCATTCACAACTCCAAGCCCTTTTCTCTTCTCGCTCCCCCAAGAAGAAACAGTTTCATTGTCATATACCGACCATCATAAAAGCCATACCAAGACCAACAGCAAGCAAACAAAGCTCGAAACTAGTGTGATAGTACATTCACGTTCTTCTTCCCATGGAAGAACACAAGCAAGTCATATGAAAGCATGCTCAAAACCACCCAACCTAATAACTGCCAACAGTAGATAAGTAGCTTGACGCAGAATGAACTATAAAAAGCTCTACATACTGAGTTTAACTCTCCATGCCAGGTAGCAAAATTCAACTAGTACTTCTACTTTTTACCACTTAAACTGCCCCTGGACCTTTCATTTTTTTAAGGTAGATCCCAGATTGTCATTTTTTCACGATGGTTCAATGTTTAAGCATTACCTAAGATTTTTGTAATGATGGTTTGCTTTATTTTTTCTTGGTAAATAGTACTAATGATGGTTTAGTTCACACACAACAATAGGTTTGACCCTTCAACTCCAAGCTGTGGAAGCCCAGGGGCTAAGCAACCGTTATCAAGACGAGAGTTTAGTACTATAATACGCCTGAATCATCTTCCACTTACCTTCCTGATCAAAGAAGAAGAATTTTGCATGAGGAGTCCCGCACTGGATTCCAATTGCCAAAGTCTATAAGTATCCATGTGAGCTCATAGGGTAACATCAAGTATATTGTACTAATTACTTAGCAGTATATTGTTAATATTTTAATGAGCACATGACTCGCATCCAGTGCATCTTGCAGAAAAAAACACAGAGAGCAGATCAAGTGCAGTGGGCTCGCACGCATCCAATAAGACTCCATCATTATTTAACATTATCACTTCCACGTGCATTTCTTCTATTGGTTTCCTTATTATGGTGGACGCACAAGCCTAACCTAACCTTCCCCGACACAAATAACATTACACAAATAACTACCTTCATCATATCTTGAGCAAAGACAAAGCACATCCATCCAATCTATTTGATTAAAGCTAAAAATAACAGAGTTCACGTAATTACCCGAATCCATGGGCCTGGTAGTAGGGTAAATTCGTCAACAAAGTCTCATCGATATCGAAGACCCAGGCGTCCTTCCCGTTGCGTCCGATCTCGACGGAGAAGGCGTAAGCGAGGGAGTAGTTAGCGACGATCTCGGAATCCGACATGTAGCGTGGACCAGTCATGTAGTCTTGGACGAAGGACTCGCAACGGGTGGGGATTTGTTTCCAGCTTCCGGCGTTGTTGGTCTCGACGGCTAAATGCCAGCTGGCACAGTAAAGGTCGTCGTCAATGTTGGATTTCCGGTCGGTTGTTGTCGGCAGCTGGATGATGGGTTGAGAAGATGAGGAGACGGAGGAGATGAGAACGGAGAGGAGGAGGAATGAGAGGCTGAGAGGATGAGAAGCCATCGGAAGATGGCTTATATATTTGGTGGAGAGCTATTTTTTTTTTTTTTCCTGGGTTTTGCCTCTCTCCCTCCCTCTCGCCCGTGGAGTGGCTGGTAAAAGAGAGAAAATTGCCTGGTTGCTTTAAACTTCATCAGTATTGTTAACGAAAAAAATGTCGATGCTAACGACGCCGTTTGGCAGCACTCCATTTTTAACCATTCATTTCTCGTTTTATTCCTTCTTTATATATATATATTTAAAAGCTCCTTCAATATTAACCATGTGTTTTTTTTATTTATAAGCATAATTAGTCAAACAAACTTGAACACATTTGATGCATAGCAATAACAATTCTATTTATAACACTAGTAGTATATAGCGTAATATCAATCAAGCAGCTCAAAAACCAGGGAAGTGGGATATCATGTTATGTTAGAGAAATAAGTTTCGGATTTAAATATAGATAAAAACATGAATGAAAATTTAATTTGTTAACAATGTAAATCTAATCTTTGACTCATTAACAAGTCATCAAATTCTAACACTTGTTTAATGAGATAAAAATATACATTAAGTTTTAATATCAACTTTTATTTCGTTCAAAATTTGATAATCTAACAATATATAAAAACTATACACTGTTTATATATTAAACTACTAATGTTTAAACATATTTCTATTTCTTATTTGTTTGATGATGATTATTTTGTTTTATTTTTATTTTTAAAATGTTTAATTAATTAAATATTAAAAAATCGGTACTTCTTTAATTTTATTTGTAAACATAGCATGTTAGCTGTTTGCAATCCTCATTTGCCTTTGACAGCTACAGCTTACAAGTCGTCTTTTGTACTCTTTATGTTTCATCACTTCGAAGCCAAATGGCAGTTTGGTTTGGTGCTTCATTTTTGTTTATAACTAGAGAAATCCGCACGCTACGCCGTGGGTTTACAAAATTTTATAAACAATTGAGGTTGAAAATTTTGAATCAATGATAAAAATTGTGAATGTTGTTATTGATATAATTTTACTGATTAATATTTAACATTAGTACAATTTGTCAATAAATGCACAAAAACTATCATAATATGTACAAAAATTATTCTACATTCATCAATAAACAGAATATTGTTAACAAAAATACAACAATCCTAGCGATTAAATATTCCACGTATCAACAAATAACATTTGTTACAAAATGTAAAAAAATGATTTATATACATCAATGAGCATGATGTTTGAAAAACAGGACAAAGGTATTGTCCATACACTAGCAAGGCATGAGAGTTCAAAAGCTACATGATTCGAGTTCAAGAGGTACATGGTTTCCCTATAGACCCTATTCAATATGAAGTTTAGGTATTTTCAAATTACTGTAAAAATCTTAGCAGCCTACAGCCTACATAAAAAGTAGTAGAGAGAATTATTAAAGAGTTCCTTCAACTTCTTTTAGCTTGCAGTAAGGAACTAACTGCCTGCTTTACAGACCTGCCTTATTCTTTCTCTTTTTGCTTATGTTCCTTGAGCAAAGATCTGATATAGCATCCAACAAACTGTTACCCCTTTGTTTTCATTATCATAAAATGCTAAGATCTAAACTTAATATATCCTCGATAGAGTTTTTGAACTCCAATCATCCTTCAAACACTAAAATGCTAAGATCTAAACTTAATATATCCTCAATAGAGTTTTTGAACTCCAATCATCCTTCAAACACTAAGCCACCAAATGTGTAAGAAAGCTACTGCTAAACTAAGATCTGCATTAAGAAGACCACCTTTTTCCCATTCATTTAATCTAATTCCACTGAAATAAAGAAGGGTGACAAGATAGGAAAACCGAAAAAAATAACAATAAATTACTTAATGAATAGACAATATCATAAATATTCAAACCTTGTCTTCTTCATGATTACTGGAGTTCTAAACATCAGATTTGTCACAAATCCACTCCTTAAATTTTGTTTTCAGTTCCTCTTTTGTTATCATGTACCTGATGCCAATGGGAAGAAAGAAGCAGGATAGTTAGAACCATTATTATAACATACGACAGTCCTATACAACTATATTGCAGGATCATTAATTCTTTCTTAACTCCTCTCCAGCAAGGCTCATACCAGTAGGTTAGCCCATCGAATATGAGTCCAAAAGAATAGGTGAGGGAATTAGAATTACATTAATGCACCTTTCCTGAAGCAGGAAACATACTTGTGTTTCAATATCATCCTCTTCTTCGACAATAGCAGCATCGATTATTTTGATAGAAATTTCAAAGTAAAATTTGGGTCAGAGAGCCAAGGTTCCAAATGTAGAAATTTCAAACAGAGCCAATGCAAATGTAGCATGATTACACTAAATGAAGTAAGAAGTATAGAGAAAAAGTACACACCAAACCTTCTCCTAGTCCCAAAGTTTTATAAGCATATCATCAGATGATGACAAATACTTTGACCTCATCCATGGTGTTGTAACTGATACTTTTAAATGAAAATCCTCAGACTGAACAATTTGGTCAAACTAATTTTTCACCCAACCTCGAAAAGCTTTGTACAAAAATTTGGTCCCATCCTTCAACCTAAATCAGATGAAAAGTTGACATCATCCACCTAGCTGCATTGCAGAATTCTACCTACCAAACTGATTCAAAACCAAATCAAAAACCTATATGCACATCACTAAATAATATTTAATAAACAAAAAAACGAAGGATATACCCGAATTTGAGTGGCAATGTCGTGGCACATTTGCTTTATACCAATCTCTTTCCGATTTCTTGACAACTTTATCTGCGAAATATTTTCCAACCAAAATTAATCAATCTTTAACGTTAACTAACCTAAATCTTCAAAATTCAATCAACTAATAAGTAATAATCACATAAACAAATAATTGAAGTACTAAATTAAAGTTGAAGACTTTTCCATCACTTCCCTTTTCAATTGATAAAATCCAACTGCTCTTCCACCCATCTGCCTAGGAATTCAAAAAAGAAAAAAAAAGAAAAGGGCCTTTACACTCATAAGCAATGACATTGTATAACATCCAAATCGCAAGGAAACCCTAAAAAGCAATAATCATAAGCTGGCTGATTCCAAGTGAATTAAACTTACCTTCACAAATGCCAATTAAATGAAATAAACCTGCCTTCACAACTTCGCGTACAGTCCATGACAACTCTACAAACGTAACAGTAGTTGCAACTGTTAAAAGTCAATCCAACACATTTATCATCATTAAAATGTTCAACTTATATAAAAAATTGAATGATAGGAAATATAAAAAAAAAATAATCAGCAAAAAAACATTAAGCAAAAACAACCATAACATTGCCTGCATCAAAGCATCTCAGTCATGCCACTTGCATCTCCGAATAAACATTTCTCAATGCATCGTCCATGCTAAAACAGAATAGGTTGCGATGAAACCCCCGTGTTTTGATTCAATATCCGAGTTGCACAAATTTTTTTAGCAAGAACATAGGCGGCACAACCGAAGATAACCCTCCGATCATAGTAAAACCCGAATAAGCACTCCATATAAAACCCAAAAACCCGAAAAGGCCCTTGATCACAAACGGAATACCCAAACTGGAATGGTTTTCTGCAATATTCTTTAAATTCATTCGGCAAATTCTCTCTGCATCATTACCAACAAAAACACAGATAGAAGATAATTGCTAAATTGAAAACAAACAAAAAATTAAGAAAACTATTTTCAGTTAAATGGAGCTTACAAATGCAATACTGTCTTTTTCCAGGAGCCTTTGTATTGAAGTGGACGGTTGACCTTCTTGAGGCAAAGACTCATCCAAAGCGGCTCTTCGTTGCAGAATATATACATAACACTAACAAATTCAAACCAAAAAAGGAATTCAGAAAATTTGAACAAAAGAGAGAATATTCTACATTGACAAAATCGGAATTGGAAAAGTAAAGAGTAAAAAGAGAGTAAAAAACCAAAAACTGCTGACGCAAGCGAGACGAGCTATGTCTCGAGGAGTGACGTAATCTAAGATGGTGCAGATGAGTTCGTCGGGTAGGGATTTGAGGTTGCCGAGGGCATCGGCTCGGCGGTCTTCGACCAGGAAAGTATGAGATTGTTGAGAATTTTCCATTGATAAGAACAAGTGGCCGAATAGCAGCAAAAACGCGGCAGAGGGGGAAGGAGAAGAGAATAGAAGAAAATATGTGAAAAGTCCAAAATACCCCTATAAAAATTGCAAAAGATCAAAACAAGTGTCAAACGATAAAAAGACATGTACGTACATAGGATTCATTATAATAATAATGACAGTAGTGCAAATGCCTCAAGAATAATTAAATAAACAATTTTACTAGAAAAATAACCGTTAAAATACCCATCAAGTTTTTTACTAATACGTTTTGTTCAATTTACTCTATATATTTAAAATTAAAATAATTTAATTTTAAAAATTATTTTAATTTAATCTCTTTCACAAATAATATTTAATTTTATTATTAAAAAGATTAATATCATGCTGACATGACATATTTTGATGACATAACACTCACACGATCACGTAGCATATCACATTATACCAATTTGATGACATAGCATATCACATGGCCTTAAAATGCTAATATGGTACTGACAAATTGACATGTTAGAATCACGTAATAAATAAAAAAATTTCAAAAAAATTTTTTATGCCAAGTCATATAAATTAAATTAAATAAAAATATAAAATACAATAACAAAATGAAACAAAATTCAGATATTAAGAGATTAAATTGAAAAAATATTTAAAAAATATAAATATTTAAATAGATGGTGGATATACTTATTAATAAACTAAATATTTAAGTGCAAAAGATTTATGATGTTAGAAAGTATATATAAATATTTTCATACTTGATTATTTGATTTTAAAATATATATTATTTTATCTTTTTTACCAAAAATTAGATTTGAATTCTCTTTTCATAAAAAAATTTGAAAAAAATTTCATAGATAAAGTCAAATTTAAATGAATAACTTAAATTATATTTGAATAAAATAATATAAAAAGACTAAATAAGTTTTTTCTATTTATAATAATATAAAAATTTAAAATTTATTTGACTTAGTTTTTACTTGACTTGAATTAAAATAAATAAAATAAGTTGATTTAGTTACAACTGTACAATTTACAAATATCCATTATTTTGGAATTACTTAACCCTTACACATTTATCTTTTATTTAAA